TTCCCCCGCATCACCACAGGACAAAGGGCTGTCTTCAAAGAGGAGAGAAGACCTGAGATAAGGAGGGGAGACAGGCTTCCTGTACCAAGCCCAACCAAGTGGGAGGCCAAACCCTTTCTCCCAGTCCTACTTGTCTTACCACACAGGAGCATATACCTACAGATAAGTGCCCCAAGATCTCAGGGGTCATCAGAAAAAAACTACACTAGGAGAGCTGGAGGATGGGGTAAAGCAGTGGTCGCCAACCGGTGGTCTGTGGACCACTGCTGGTCCGTGAGGTCCGAAAGGTTGGCGACCGCTGGGGTAAAGAACTGTTTCTGGCCCTAACCGGTTTGGCTCAGTGGATAGAGCGTCGGTCTGTGGACTGAAGGGTCCCAGGTTCGATTCCGGTCAAGGGCATGTACATTGGTTGCGGGCACATCCCCAGTTGGGGGTGTGCAGGAGGCAGCTGATCGATGTTTCTAACTCTCTATCCTTCTCCCTTCCTCTGTAAAAAAACCAATAAAATATATTTTTTAAAAGAAGAACTGTTTCTGCAGACAAGCCACTTCCTCTCTCAGAGCCTCCTTTCCCCATGTAGTAAATGGAACAATGTGTCATTTACTCACAAATACTTATTGAGTGCAGACTATGTGCTGGACACAGCAGGGAATGAGACAGAAAAGGTCTCTGCTCTCATGAACCATTCTGGATGGGGTGACAGACAATAAACAAGTGAATAAGAAAACTTCTTAAATGCTGTAATGAAAACAAAGCAAGGCAATACGATAGAAGGTTGAAGTAAGTGAGAGCCCGGTGCCTTTCCAGGCCACTGTTCTATTCCCAAGGGTCATTTGCCAGCACTGGACCTAACAGAGTGCAGCCCCCTCTCCTGAGAAGGTGCCCAGTAGGAGTCTTTGCTCTGATTTTCACTCCAGGGTTGCCATTAATATCCTAAACTAGAAGAAATGTTTCCAAATTCTCTGCCCCTAGCTCTGAAAGCCTGGTCCCAGGCCCAATGCTAGTCCCATCCATTGGCCAAGAGTTGGCCCCACCCAGGCTGTAGGCCCCCAGGCCTGCCATGCAAATTGCTCAGGGTAGGTTTTTTGTTTTTTAAAACATATATTTTTATTTATTTCAGAGAGGAAGAGATAGAAACATTAATGATGAGAGGGAATCATTGATTGGCTGCCTCCTGCATGTTGGACCAAGCCCCCAACCCAGGCATGTGCCACTGACTGGAATCGAACTTGGGGCTCTTTGGCCTGCAGGCTGACACTCTATCTACTGAGCCAAACCGGCTAGGGTGGTAGAAGGCATTTTACACAAATTTATAAATTGATCAGTGGAGGATTTGAAGAAAAAAAATCCTGGTTGTTTTTAAGATATCACTATAGGTATATATGTGCATTTGTCAAAACTCAGCAAATGTACACTTAAAATCTGAACATTTTATATATAGAGGCCCAGTGCATGAAATCTGTGCACGGGGGGGGGGGGGGTACCTCAGCCCAGCCTGCACCCTCTCCAATCTGGGACCCCTTGGGGGATGTCTGACTGCTTCTTGCAATCCAGGACCACTGGCTCCTAACCGCTTGCCTGCCTGCCTGTCTGATCACTCCTAACCACCTCTGCCTGCCTGTCTGATCGCCCCTAACTGCTCCCCTACCAGCCTGGTCACCCCTAACTGCTCCCCTGCTGGCCTGATCGCCTCTAACCGCCTCTGCCTCACCCTGCACCCGGGACCCAGGATTCCCTCCTCCAGCCAGTCGCAGGTACCCAAGACCTGGGCTCCCCTCCCTCTGGCTGGCCGCAGGCACCCAGGACCCGGCCAGCTGCAGCCGCGGGGACCGTGGGCGGGTGGTTTGCCCAGGCTGCAGCCACAGGTGCTGGCGCCCAGGACTGCAGGGCAGACAGCTCGTCTCTCTCCAGGGCCGCAGCCTGGCTGGTCCCCATTCCTCTCTCATGAGCTCATTTGTGCCTGGCTGGTCCCCATTCTTCTCTCCCCAGTGTTGAGTGTCTGAGCAGTTCTGGTTCGAGGGCGTGTATTTGCATATTAGCTTTTTATTATATAGGATTGGGGAAAAAACACAAATTACAAACAAATGAACTCTAGCTAGTGAAATGCATTCTGAAATATTTAGAGGTAGGTGTACTAATGACTGCAACTTACTTTGGAATGCATTAACAATGACAGATTGCCCGGCCCTTGTATCTCAGTGGTTGAATGTCAACCTATGAACCAGGAGGTCATGGTTTGATTCCCAGTCAGGGCACATGCCTGGGGGCTGCAGGAGGCAGCCAACCAATGATTCTCTCTCATCATTGATGTTTCTATCTCTCCCTCTCCCTTCCTCTCTGAAGTCAATAAAAACATATCAAATTTAAAAAATAAGATAGTAGTAAGATGGATATAGGGATGGAAAGATGTGTGATAAATATATTAAAATGTCAGTGATAGACTCCAGGTGGTACAGGTATTCACTGTAAAATTCTTTCAATTTAGTGTATGTTAGAAGGTTTTCATGATAAAATGTTGGAGAGGGGGAAATCAGTGTTTAATTTTACAAAAAAAGTACATATGGCTGCCTTTAATTTTCAACCTCAGGAACATCTCCAGTACTTCTCTAAATGCATTAACTTTTTTAATGAAGTTGTAATTAGTTTGTATGTCCTCATTGTTATTTCTCACATTTCTAAAACTTCATGTGTTCAATGTTTAATGTTAGCATATGACAGGAGTAAATATGCTATATATTACTTTGGGGATACAGACTTTTTATTGTGTACATTCTAAAAGCAATGCCTAGGGCACCCTGTTCAGAAGGTGGACTGTTATATGGTTCCAACTCCTTTTCATTGAGAATAACTAAAAAAGCTGGAGAAAACATTTTTAAAAGGCATTGAAAAGCTACCAGGGAAGTGAAGAATTGTGGGGCCAAGACTGGAGAGGAAAAAAGCCCAGGATGAGCCTAGTATTGGAGATCTTTCCATTCCCTGGAGGTGTCTGCTGATTCTGAGAGAAATCTGATAGACTGTGCCAGATTGTGATTCCAAAAACTGGCCACATTCCCAGTTCTGCACATGCTTCGATTCTTGCAACCCCCCTATCAAGAAGTGGAGTCGATCCCCCCCTTTTTTATTTTTATTATTTTAAAAATATATTTTTATTGATTTCAGAGAAGAAGGGAGAGGGAGAAATAGAAACATCAATGATGAGAGAGAATCATTGATCGGCTGCTTCCTGCACGTCCCCCACTGGGGATTGATTTGCAACTGACATGTGCCCTGACCGGGAATCAAATCGACTTCCTGGTTCATAGGTTGACATTCAACAACTGAACCACGCTGGCCAGGCTTGATTTCCCTTTGAAATTGGGTGGGGTGTGCCTATGTGACTGCCTCAAGAAACAGAATGTGGCAGGTGTGACTCCCAAAGCTCGGTTAGGGAAGGCAACACAGCTCTGCCTGACCCTCTTGGGACGCTGACATGTTGGGAGGTACTGCAGGTTGTATGTGTTCTGACCAACAGCCCCAGCTAAGGTTCCAGCCAACAACAGGCTCCCACTGCCAGACTATTACCAAGACTTCAGGTGATTTCAGCCTTCAACTATCAAGTCACCTTCAACCTTTGTCTTCCAGCAGTTGCCCCAGACACTGTAGCAGAAAGCATCCCTGTTTTACCTGTCCAAATTCCTGACCCTCGTGTAAGTAGTAAGCATAATAAATGGTTGTTTTACAATTTGATTTATATTTACTGGGAGGATTCTCACAAACTTACATTTACAAATCAGGTGGGGGAAGAAAAAGAAAGACCTTACTGGGCCTCTCACTCTGTGATGAGGCTTGCCCTCCTCTGGACTCTGGTTTTCTCCTTTGTCTTCCTTCTAGACTGAGGGGGCAACAAGAGGTAAAAGTCATGTCCTCAGTGTTGGGTTGGGGCACTGGGACATGAAGCCAAGGTGCACTGGATTGCAAACTGAAGGCTAGAGAGAGGGTCACTAGAGGGCCAAGAAGGCGCTCCTACTGACTGCGGACGAAACCTCCATCCCAGGTAGAGTGAAGCCAGTGTCTTGTTTGCAGGTCTTGGCAGAATTGCCAAAAGAATTCCATCCTGCCGAAACCAGTTTGGCTCAGTGGATGGAGCGTCGGCCTGCGGACTGAAGGGTCCCAGGTTCGATTCCAGTCAAGGGCATGTACCTGGGTTGCGGGCACATCCCCAGTGGGAGATGTGCAGGAGGCAGCTGATCGATGTTTCTCTCATCGATGTTTCTAACTCTCTATCTCTCTCCCTTCCTCTCTGTAAAAAATCAATAAAATATATATATATAAAAAAAAGAATTCCATCCTTTTCTCTCCAGCTCAGAAACCACTCAGGAATTATCACCACTGTTTACAAACAGTGGCTGGGTCTCCAAAGACTCCTCCTCCAATCCCTACAATCTGCTGGCCACATGCCTCTCATTAGTCCTCCAATTCACACTGCAGTGCAAACCAGTGCAAACCGGGGCCTTGATCAGGGTCCCCTGCTTACAAAGGGCCCAATTTTAGTTCCAGCTTTGAGTCATCCCTCCCGTTACCACAAACATCCAAGGAGAAGCTCTAAGACGCCCAAATGTCCAACATGGTTTCAAATCCATTTTGCCACATATTTGCTGTTACCAAACCTCCCTGGACCTAAAATTCCTCTTCTGTAAAATGGGGTTATGTTGCCTATCTCACAGGGCTGGCATGTGGAACAAATGAAATAATGGTCAAGTGTTTAGCATCCTTCTTGTGTATGTGTGTGTACAATGCTTCTCAGTATGGTTCTTGACGAACTGTTGTGTAAGTTTTGTGTCATCCCTTCCCATAATCTTTCTGGGGGCTGGGAGCTTGAGAGCTTTCCTTGGTAACTGTACAAAGGGGCAGGTCTCTTATAAATGTAGCTCCTTCTCCAGACCCACCACAACCATGGAGTTTTGCTGAGGTGTCTGTATGGTTCTGCCTCTAGCTTGCTGTTGCTTAGGTGGGACTGCATAAAGCACTCTAAAAGGTTCAACTTTATTTACAACCAGACCCCTGGCTCCCTTCCTACCCCAGCTCCTCAGCTTAGCTCTGGGGGAGAAACTGAAGGAGTAGTGACTCTTCTGCCACGCTCAGGACCTGAAGAGACGTGCAGGGTGGGCCCCTCACTTCTTCTGGGCTTGTGCCCTGGCCCGCTGAATCTTGTCGGCTGTCGCCCCATCTGTGGCTCCAGTGCAGTGGGACAATACAAGGCTCAGCTCTGCCTCATTCCGGCGCTCGATGGCCACGTCTGCAGCCTGAGCCACATCCCTATGGTTTGAGCAGGAGGGGAGATGGTGTTGGGCTGACCAAGGACACAAACCATGCCCCTCACCAGTCCACTGGCTCAGCCACCTAGCACCCACAGGGCTCTCAGCCGACGCACCCAACAAGAAGCAAGGCCTTGACCTTCTGCTCGGGACCCACTCGGGAGGCGTACTTCTTCGCCTCGTATTTGTTGTGTTGCTTCATGCAGATCTCCACAAAGGGCTTAGAGAGGAAGGGGATAAAGGGAGAAGATAAGGCAGAGCTCCCTTGTCATCTCTTATGAGCAAAACCCTAACTGGACACATTGTCCTTGTATATTTTATATCCTTCAGTGTCTGTAATCCCCTTACCCCTGCCCTGACACACGCCTGCAATAGGTGTGATCTCCACATTCTCTGGGCAGAAACAACTGAAATCAAAGATCTGTTAGAGCTCAGAGACCAATTATTTCCATGCACCCACTCCACCGGCCGCTGCTACCCTTCCACAACAGGTGTTTCCTGCCCTCTCAGGCCCTGTGTTTTCTCTCATGGCTGCCCCACCTACCTACACCTCTGAACTGCCTGCCACAGAAAACAACCCCCCTCAAAATAGCCTCCACTGCCTGGCAGATATGTTTTCCCTGTTCCCCTCCACCCTCCACTCAAATTGGACTTTTCCTTGACATCTGCAGGCTGACTCAGGCCCATTCTCCTGTGTACCTGGCCCATGAACACGTGTACACAGAAAGCACCCACTATTTTCATCAGTTGAACAGATGTGCCAGTAGGTCATCAGCCTATCTCTAGGCCCGGTCCTCTCCCCAGGACTATCCTCCCTGTCAGGGGGTGGAGGGAGGGCCCCTGCCTCACCAGGTAGCCAATGGGTGATTTCTTGCTCTTAGAAAACTTCTCTAGTTCCTCCCAGTCTTCCAGATCTGCCAGGGCAGTCAGCTTCAGCCACCAGAGCCTGTGGGGAAGCTGGGCTTAGAGGTGCTGTAGGAGGGACAGGGATCCCAGGACCTTTTTGAAGCCCTCACCAACCTCTTGTCGGGGATGCGGAAGTCACGTGCCAGCTGCTCTGCACGCTTGTTGTGGGCCACCAAGGATGAGGGTCGTGACTGTGTCATGTAGAGACAGGTCTAGGAACTGACCCCCCAGCTCATCTTCTAGGCGTCGCTGTAGCCGTAGGAGCCGCATTTGATCCTCTGTGGCCTGGGGACATGGATAAAGCAGGATGGAGATGAGAGGGGCAAGGTGGGAAGACTGGGAGAAGAGGCAAGGGAGAAAAGAGTAGGCCAAACCTTGGCTGCAAACTCATTCTTGGCCTTGTAGAAGGCGTCGGCTGCTGTCTGCAGAGCTGCGACCCGCCCCTCAATACGCTATGAGGGCAAGAAGGGAAGCCTGAGCTCACAGCTCAAGAGATCTCAGCCCTCCGCACCCAGGATACAGTTTTCTCCCTGATCCCTGTGCCCAGGGTCACCAGGACCAGCCTTACCCATTGGGTGAACCACTCTGGTGCCCCTAGTGGGAAGGCTAGCTCCTCTGGGACCAACCCTCATTCTGGCCTCATGTCCTCTCAGACTCTCCCTTAACAGTGAGGACCAGATGGGGTGTGTGCCAAATATGAGGCCTAGATACCTGGTGAAGGAACCAGACCAACAGCCCAACCCACAGGCCCCACCCACTCTGTGGGCCTCAGACCTCCTCTGCAGCGTAGCTGGCTCGGATGTGGAAGCTGCCCAGCTCCTGGTGGTTGTCATCCTGATTGTAAAGGTCCTTCAGCGTCTCTAGCTCCTGGTGCTTACAGAACTGGAGCCAGGGCAGGCAATCAGACAGTAAGAACAACTCAGGTGCTCAGGAGGCTGCAGGCCTACCGCTGCCCACTGCACACACCTGTCGGTACAAGCTCAGGGCCATGGGCTGGTTCCGAAGGGTCATGAAAAAATCTCCTCGGTTCAGCTCGTTCTTCAGGTGCAGCAACACCGTGAACACTACGGGACAATAAGGTGGGGTGGGGACTCCAGCAGTCCCTTGCTCAGCCCAGGGGCCCTGGCCTTGGCCTCAGCCAAACCTTACTTACCCAAGTCAGTGTCCCCACTCTCGATGGCCTTGCTCAGTGCCAGTTTGCTCCTCTTCATTTTTAGGAGAAGAGGTACCTGCTCCCCAGAGCGAGGCTCATACTCCAGAAGCTATGGGGTGGGGAGGAAGACACAGAGAGAAGGAGCTGGCCCGGGGGCCTTGGAAACCCAGGTCAGAGCATTTAGAAAGGGCTGGGCACCCACACCTTGATGGCCAGCTCTGTGCGGCCACAGCCATAGGCCCGAGCAGCAATGTCGGAGTAGGAGACACCAGGTGTGTCCCCCAGCTTCTGGTTAATGGCCCGAGCAACATCCTCATCAGACACGTCCTTCTGTTGTACCTACAGAGGGAGGGGGTGTTACACACACCCGGGTCTCACCCTTCACCCCACCTGTCCTCAATCAGAACCTGGCCCTTCAGCTCTACACTTCATATTTCCTACACCTCACCAGGGTGTGGAAGTCCCTAAATGTTCCTGGACCCTGTGCTATATCCTCACCTTGTAGCAGGCCCAATGGGCCAGGATCCTGCTGACACCCTGCACTTCAGGAAGGCGCAAGTACTCGCATATCTGGATGGCCAGGGGGTAAAGCCTCCGCAACACAAGCCTGGCAAGGGTATGGGGGTGAGGTGGGGTAGAGAGTGAGCGCAGTGGCCACAGTCTGTACCTTGGGCCTCCCAGATCCCAAAGCAATGGGTCAGGAGCAGTGGCCACAAGAGCCCACCAGGGGCTGTGATGCTTGTCCACTCAGCGCCCTCCTCCCACATCCTTGGGCTTACTGTACCTGTCTAGCAGCACCTGGATGGTGAGCTGCTTGTATCTGCATTTTACCTGGTTAAGGATCCAGCTGGTAAATAAGCCTTATTTGCTAAAGACCTTCAGGCAGTATCTCTTCCCCCTGTATCCCTGGCAACCCCACCCCCACCCCGCCACCCCTGGCTGTGAACACCCTTCTAGCAGGCTTGGGGATACTGGCTATAGGTGAGGGGGATCCCGATGTGATAGTCCCGAATGGCATTGAGCACACGCAGGTCCTGACACATACGCACGAAGCCATCAGGTGGAAATCTGTCGAGGAAACACTTTCCGAAGGAAGCAGCCTTCGGAGAAGAACCAGAGGACAATAGAAGCGAGCTCCCCTCAACCAGCCCAACCCTGCCCAGTGCCCCTCCCACCAGCCCTGTAGCCCAAGCCAACCCTGAGCAGACTCTTCTGCATGTCTGGCCGGTGCTCATGTCCCGCAGCCTCAATGCACTGCTGCACGGCCTGGGTCAGCTGCCCCAGCTCCTGGATCTCCCGCAGGTACTCATCCGCTTTCTGGCTCTCTTTCTGGGGGAAGTGGGAATGCCAGGGATAGAACATCATGATGGAGAATACCCCCACATCTGGCCCCCAGTCCCTCTGGAATGTGGTTCAAATGAGCTGCAGAAGCTAGAGCCCAAGCTACCTCAGCCCACTCAGTCTACCAAGGTGTTCAGTATTCCCCACAATTGCCTGTGAGAGGCCCTGAGACCTCTTTTATTTTATTTTTATTGATTTCAGAGAGGAAGGGAGAGAGAGAGATGGAAACATCAATGATGAGAGATCAGCTGCCTCCTGCATGCCCCCTACTGGGGATCAAGCCTGCAACTTGGGCATGTGCCCGTGACTGGATTCGAACCTGGAACCCCTCAGTCCGCAGGCCAACACTCTAGCCACTGAGCTAAACCAGTTAGGGTGGCCCTGAGACCTCTTGATAGTAGCCCTGACTTGTACCTGGGCTGGGGATAGTGGGGCCTCCCTGCCCCTCCCTGTTACCACATGGAGGACCCCATGTCACTTTAGTCCACCTGAGCTGGCTTTCTCCAGCCCAGCCTAGTGTCCTGCCTGGACCCCCTCTTCACAGGTGGCACCTGGCTGTGTCCGCCCTCCCATGCCCAGGCAGGGGGCTGGGCCAATTAGGGGAAGAAAAACATTTTAGGGTCCAGGGAGAGGCCCAGGGCTTTACCTCATATTCCTTCTGGGCCTCTAACAGCAGTGCTCCGGGGGCCATTGAGGCAATTTTGAAGATCTCCTCGCTGGCCACTGGGGAAGGGATATGGTGAGTGTAGGAGGCAGGCAGGGAACCCTCAGCTCTCCCTCAAGGCTCTAATCCTACTCTGGAGCACTGCCCCACAGCAGCTGTGGTGTCAAGGTGCCCCCGCCCCAGGTCTTGTGGTGCCTTTGTGAGGGCCTCACCTGGAACCTCATGTAGGAACTCATGGGTGCTGCGGGAGAAGATGCGGACCCCATCCAGCTCAGGTACCAGGTAGGAGTCCTCATCCAGCACAAACCTGAGCTTGGTCAAGGTTCCTAAGATGGGACGGGACAGATGACCCCCCTTCCCCTCTCATCTCCCATCCCCACAGGTAGCCCTCCAAGGATACTGGATGCTCTCAGGTGCATCACCCACCACCATCAGCCGCTTCTCCCAGGCCACCACAACAGCCCTCTCCTTGCTACGAGGACGGCTGCACCTGTGGGCAGCACCACACATACATGTTTGAGACATACACCAGACGCCAGGTCCTCAGCCAAGTCTCTCACATCACTGCTTATTTATATCACTTTGCCTTGGGATAGTCCTGTGCATGCTTCCTGCTCCTTATCCCATCCCCTGATTGACTTGAGGGCTTCCCTTTGACCCTGAGCTGTCAGCTCCAGCTGAGGCCCACAGCGGGCAGGGGTTCCCCTCAAGTGTGCACTGGCAGAGAAGGTATGATGCAAGCTCCACTTGGCGTGGCCAGTAGACAGGATGAATCAGTGTCCCAGGAAACAATGCTATATCCACCCTCACCCGCAGCATAAGATTCCCATCCTCACCAGACCATCTGCTTCGGGGGGGCCCGGATGTTGCAGTTGAACTCGCACAGTTTTTCCTGAAAGGATGCAGGGAATGTCATGGTCCTGTCCAAGAGCTCAAGTTAAAAAAGCCCATTCTCTACCCGAATCCCTGGACAAGGCAAAGTGCCCCTGTGTTTTCCCAGGACAAACCTTGAGTGAAGCTGTCCCCATCCAGATATAGCCCGTGTCTGTGAAGAGTGCCAGGTGTCGGTAGGTGAAAGAAACAGCCATCTGCAGGAAGCTGCTCACTCCTGGGGCCAGGCCAGGAGGTGTCTGGGGCAGGGCCAGGGAGGACACCCAAAGATACTAACTTCTCAGCGCCTCCTCCAGGCCTCCCCCAACCCTTCCATTTCACTCCCATTTCACAGGCCCTCACCACGGTGGAGCAGGTTGCATGGTCCAGGAGGTAAAGATCGGGCCCCACAGCCAGAAGAATGTGTGCCACTCGGTCCTGGCACAGTGTGGTCCAGCACGAGGGTGCGCTCTGCAAACCTGTGGTCAGGCAAGAGGACAACCCCAGGATGACCAGAGCCCAAAGCTTCTGCCTCTGTGGATCCAGCAGTCTGGAAGCACGTCTGTGGGCACTGAATGATTGTCTTGGGGATGTTAGCGCTCACCTGGCACTTCTGGCATTCGGCGGAGTTTGAGGTCACCCACATTGGCACTGAGGGTGAAGCGGTGGGCCCCTGTGAGGATGGCCACTCCGGAACCAAACTCAGTATGGAAGATTCGAGCATCTAGAACCCGATTCTGGAGCACCTCCTGGGGAGAGGGACAAGTGGAGAGGGACCTTGAAAAAATCACAGGGTCACAGACTCCATCCCTTTTCCCCAGCTTCCTGTGGCCCCTACATTGCCCATACTGAAGTGTCTCCGGAAGTCTCCATGAAGCCCATAAACCAGTACTACACCATCTTCCTGCACGCAGAGGAGCTCCTCTTCAGCTGACCAGCCCAGGGACACCACTGGCCCACTCTTCCACTGTAGAGGAGAAGAAGTTCATGAGACTATCTTGGGACACAGAAGCACTGCCTGGCCCCCAGCCCCAAGGCAGGCCAAGGGTGCTCACCAGCAGACTGGCCAGAGGCATGCCAGAAGCAGAGTAGATGTCAAGTACCGGCCGTACACTTGCAGCCTTCTCCTTCCGCCAGGGGTTCCTCAGCAGTGCTGCAGTTGGAGAAGAGACCTCCTGTCCTAGTTCACTAGTCCCAGCCCACGTGAAGCAGGCCTCATGAAGTAGCTCCTCAGGCCCACCATATGAAGCAGGCCTCAGGAGAACCAGAATTAAAAGCATCTCAATTTGGGGGGAGGGTGGCATATGCCAGCGAGAACAACCCAACAATAAGACCCCTAGGAATCAAGGACCTTGAGTTCATCCCACGGTCCCAGAGCATGCCGAGGCAGAGGGGTGACTTACCAATGGGGCCTCCATAAGGCGCAGCAGCCACCAGGCAGTCCCTGAGTTCCTCCTTCAGGTCCCAGTCCATGCTGTACAGCTCATATTTCCTGCCCACAGAAAGGTGGATAGAAATTAGCCTCCTCGTGCCCATGCATCTAGATGAAGTGAGCCCCAGAGGAACCCCTAAAACCTCCATTTGTTCTCCACAGGAAACTTGAGGCCCCTCCAGGGGCGGGGAGGAAAGGTGATGACTACAAACAATATGCATGCTTAGGTGCAGCAGGCAAGGATGGGGTTCTTGGGCAAGTACACAAGGATGGCAGGAGCTCCTGGGACAGACAGGCTGTGTGGCCAACATCCAGGACACAAACTGAGATAGGACTAGGGTGGGTGGCCGGCTTGAGTCTATATTAGCAGGAAATAAAACCCTGCCAGAGGGTCTCTCAGGGTGGAGAGCCTTTCTTCTATTTCTGATTTTTTTCTTAAGAATAGTTTATTGAATTTTTTATTTTATTTCTTTATTTTTAGTTTATTGATTTTTAAAGAGAGAGAAAGAAGGAGGAAGGGAGAGAGAGAAACATCAATATGGGAGCACAACATCGATCGGCTGCCTCCTGTATGACCCCCTACTGGGGATTGAGCCCAGGAGCCCATAAGCCCACAATCAGGGCTTGTGCCCTTGACAGGGAATCAAACTGGCAACCTCTTAGTGCACAGGAAGACGCCCAACCAACTGAGCCACACTGACCAGGGCTATTTCTGGTTCGTAACACTGAGTCAGGTCATGGGCTTTATACCTGGGGGTCCAGCTCAGCACTGGTTAATAAAGAACTCAGTTTCAGAAGTACTGAGTTAGCAGTGCCTGAAAGAAACCCAAGAGGAGCTCTTCAGTGAGTCCGAGCTGGGGAGAGTCCTGGGTTAGAGATGTCAATCTGTGAATGCTTGGCTTACAATAGGAAACTGAAATCACAAGCCAGCACAAGATGACTGCAATCTGAGATGTGTGAGGACAGTGTGTGCCGCATGAGAAGACAAAGTAGGAGGGGAGAAGGGAACAGAGGAGTAGGCACTATTCCAGGATGTCAAGGAAAATCGGTGGCTAAGGAGAGTGCTTTGGCTGGTATCATTTCAGGAGCCTTCCCATTAAAGATCAGAAAGATGCTCACCATTACCGTCTTTCTATTTGACATTCTTCTTGGGGTTCTAGCCAAAATAATTTAAGAAAAAAACAAACAAAACAGAGAAGTTTCTATTTTGGAAAAGGAGTGAGATTGTTACTATTTACAAATAATGTGATTGTCTACTTAGAAAATCCAAACCAGTCTATGGAACAATGAATAAAAGAGCTCAGTTGAGTGAGCAACAGAAGTCAATGTATTTTCTTTTTTAAAATATATTTTTATTGAAAAAAAAATTTTTAAGAGAGAGAGGAAGGGAGAGGGATAGAGAGATAGAAACATTGATGAGAGAGGAACGTCATCAATCGGCTTCCTCCTGCACGCCTCCTACTGGGGATCAAGCCTGAAACCAAGCATGTGCCCTGACTGGGAATCAAACCGGTGATTTCTTGGTTCCTGGGTCGACACTCAACGGCTGAGCCACACTAGCCGGGCAGAAGCCAATATATTTTCTACATCAATCAATTGTCTATATACTATAGCAAGAACCAATTAGAAACGTAACTTTAAAAAGAGCCTGATCATGACAGCAATAAAACTATAAGGTACCCCAAAATAAACATAATAAACATTTTTACAAAATCATATCAAAATTTACTCAAGGATATAGAAGACAGAAAATATTTTAAAATAATCTATAAATGCACAAGAATTTCAATAAAAATCACCCCCAATGTTTGGGGGGAAGGGAAGCCCAAACTGATTCTAGTTTGTCTGGGGGGAAAAGATAATCTGAAAAAGTAAATATTGGAAGATATTTAGAAACATTTGAAAATATGAGAACACATGTATATTAGATATCAAGTATCTTCTATAATAATAAAAGTGCAATATGCTAATGAGACCAGATGTCCTTCTGGACGACCTTCCAGACGAAGCCTTCCGGATGAAGCCGGGGCTTCGAAGGAAGCCTGGGTTCCAGGTGCCAGAGAGAAGCAGGGGCTGGTAGCCAGCCGGGGGAATGAAGGCCTACTCTCACATGAATTTCGTGCATCGGGCCTCTAGTACTATATAAAACTAAAGTTAATTAAAACTTGTTTTGCTTATATGCATGCATATAAGCATAACCAATGGACATAAGACACTGGGGGGTAGGGGAGGCCAGGGGATTGTCAAGGGCGGGGAAAAAAAGGACACATATGTAATACCCTTTGTAATACTTTAAGCAATAAAAAACAAACAAACAAACAAAACAAAACAAAAAAAAAAAACTTGTTTTGGCACAGGAATAAACAAATAGATCAATGGAAGAGAACAGAATCCAGGAAAAGACCTGAGAATTGAACATGTAATAAAAATGGCATTTCAAATAAGTGCAAAATGATACTTGAAATGAGACAATGGCCCATACAGGAAGAATCATGGTAAATACTATTTCATTACTTAATCTCTACAATAAAATATTTTCCAGATGGAATTCAAAATTTAAATGTTAAAAAAATAATGCCACATCAGAAAAAATCTTGGCTATTTTAACAATCTCAAAGTAAAAATGATTTCTAAGCATGACATAAAACCCAGAAGCCACAATGCAAAAGACCAACAAATAAAAACTAAGAACTTCTGTATACTTCTATGTAAAAAGGGGTAAAAACAACACATTTGCTTACATTTGAAAAAAAGAAACTTTGGTAAGATTTACAAGAATCTAGTAACAATGGTTACTTGTAGGTGAGGGGTGGAATTAGTTGAATAAGACCAGGGATAGGAATGAGACTTTGAGTTTTTAAACAACATTAACAGTTCTTTAATTTTTAAGAAAGATTTTTAACTTACTGATTTGAGAGAGCAACATCGATTTGTTGTTCCACCTATTTATGTATTCATTGGCTAATTCTTTTATTTTTTAAATCCTCACCTAAGAAGTGAGGATATTTTTTTCATTGATTTTTAGAGAGTGGAGAGTGGAAGGGAGGGGGTGAGGGTGGGGAGAAAGAGAGAAACATGATATGAGAGAGACACATTGATTGGTTGCCTCCTGCATATGCCCCAGTGGGGGTTGGGGAAGTGGGGGGAAAGGACTCAAACCTGCAACCCAGGTATGCGCCCCTAATCAGAATCTAACCCAAGAGACCCTCTGGTGTGAAGGCCCATGCTCTAACCCAGCCGTGGGCAAACTACGGCCCGCCGGATCCGGCCCGTTTGAAATGAATAAAACTAAAAAAAAAAAAAAGACCGTACCCTTTTATGTAATGATGCTTACTTTGAATTTATATTAGTTCACACAAACACTCCATCCATGCTTTTGTTCTGGCCCTCCGGTCCAGTTTAAGAACCCATTGTGGCCCTCGAGTCAAAAAGTTTGCCCACCCCTGCTCTAACCACTGACCCATGCTGGGCAGGACCATCGGCTGATTCTTCTATGTGCCCTGACCAGGGATTGAACCCACAACCGTGGCGTACTTGGCCGATGCTCTAACCAACTGAGCTACCTGGCAAGGGCCAATACTTATTTGTTAAGATAATTAACATTAAAAAACTTTTATACATTAAAAAATATCCATTAAAATAAAGCAGGAAGACAAACTATGGCAAAAATGTGATACATGTGAAGAGATATTTTCTTAAAAAATACAAAAGGCTCTAATTAATTTTATTTTCTTTATTTTTTTATTAAATTTATTGGGGTGACATTGATTAACAAAATTACACAGGTATCAGGTATACAATTCTACAACACATCATTTGTATATTTAGTATTATGTTTACCACCCAAGTCAAGTTTCCTTCCATCACCATTTATCTCCTCTTTACCTTCTAATTAAATTTAAATGAAAATAAAACTAAAGTAGAAAGCTAGTCAAAAGCCATATCATACTACTTTATGTGAAAACACTTTTCAAACTACACATAAAAATCTTGAAAAAATATAATCTAATATTTTTATAATGTGAACTATGGAAAAGTCTTTTAGAGCAAGACACAAAACCCAGAAATTAACAAGGAAAAGATTTTATTACATGAAATAGCTATTCAACTTTTAAATGTGTACACCCTCTGACTTACCAGTTTCCTTCCAAGAGTCTAACTTAGAAAACTACTTGTACAAGTGCACAAAGGTATGAATTCATTGCAGCACTATTTAAAATAGTTTCAGAAAATCCTGGAAAAACCTTCTTAAATGTCCATCAAAACAGGACTGGTTAAATAAACTATGGTATGCCCATTCTGGGCAATATCATGTGGCCATTAATAAGGTGGCTCTGGCCCTAGCCGGTGTTTTCAGTGGCTGGAGCATCAACCTGAGCACCAAAGGGTCTCGGGTTCAATTCCTGGTCAAGAGCACGTACCTGGGTTACAGGTTCAATCCTGGCCCTGGTCGAGGCACGTGTGGGACACAACCAATCGATGTATGTCTTTCACATTGATGTTTCTCTCTCCCCTTTCCCTCCCTCCCTCCACTCTCTCTAAAAAGTAATGAAAAAATATCCTCAAGTGAGGATTAACAATAACAACAAAATAAGGTGACTGAGGGAAATAACATGAAATTATTTCTAACACATTGTTAAATAAAAAATGTAAGCTGCTGCTCAGTATGAACTCATTTATGTAATAAAAATGGAGCATATATATTTTTCTTAAATGAAAAGGAAGCCCACTGCGTGGGAGAACATATTTGCCAAAGATACTATTTTTATTGATTTCAGAGAGGAAGGGAAAGGGAGGGAAATAGAAACATCAATGATGAGAGAAAATCATTGATTAGCTGCCTCCTTCACGCCCCTACTGGGGATTGAGCCCACAACCCGGGCATGTGCCCTGACCAGGAATTGAACCATGACCTCCTGGTTCATGGGTCGACACTCAACCACGGAGTGACACTGGCCAGGCTGAGCATATGTGTGTGTATATACACTGAGTGGCCAGATTATTATGACCACCCCATCAGTACAATGAAGTGGATTAGTTATGCAAATAATAATAATAAT